GGGGAATAAGGTAGACGAACACTTGTAATCTTGTTTTTTCTTTAACAAGGAGGGGAAGTATGTGTTGTTTACATAAGCAACCAGGTGAAAACTTATGGTGCCATGCCAATATGTTTGGAGGGCAAATCACTCTCTCAAACTTCCATGCCGCAGAGAAGAATAATATGACATCCGTCTTGTCCTTGCTGTAGCAGTTGACAATTCAATGCACCCAATTTGTTTGTAAAAATCAAATCCCATTGCGATCGAATTCTAGATAGCTAACTTGTGGTATAACTCACCTTTTACCAAAATACTTCCAAATTCTTTTACCAATATGCTGATTTCTACTTTTACTTTGAAAACCACGGACCTACAAAGACCCAACAACCATAATGTACGTGATTTATGTTCCTAGACTTTAGCTGACTGGTAAGTTAAATAAAGGGCAAAGGGAACAACTTCCTAAAAATTGCATTGTAGGAAAACTATCTCTGTGCTCAAGTGTTTTGTGTTTAAATCTAGGATTATCATTCTACAATATCCTACTTTATAAATATGAATTTAATTTTTGAGTTATTAGTAATTTAATCTTGAGTTAGTGGACAGTCAATGCAGATTTCATCTGTCATGACAAGACATAAATGACTATTTGAATCTGGCATTTAGCATATTGAGAAGAGAACTACACTTACGTTTTAGCAGCTTGTCTTCCCTTTCCAATAGCAGCACCAAAGTACCTCTACAACAAATGCCGAAATATATTCACATCGTAAATAAATCAATGTAATAGGACCAGATTACACCAAAGAATATGGGAATTTAAGAGCAGAGTCCAGCGGGAAAACATCTCTTGTAATTGAAAGAAGGATTCAACTCACGTATGAGACACCAGAAGGCTCAACCAGGTATAGTTGAGGTCCATCTCTATCATACCCTCCAAGAATCACCCCACATCCGAAAGGCCTGTGGCAAGTTGTGCACCAAAAATTTCACATATAAAGCAATTTTTTCTTTTATTTGTTTCTTTGCCAAGTTTCACACAGATAGAAAGCAATTAAACAGAAAAATCTTCAATATACAAACGCTGTACATAATCCAACAAACCTGAGCCACCAATACAGTGTGCATAAATGCACATAACTAGCAACGCGTTCCGCAAGTTCTTTCACTGGAATTGGCTCACCATATGTACTGCAAATTGCAAAAACCAGCCAACAAGCAGTCAGTACAAAGAAATAACTTCTCCAGCACTAAGCAGAATCTTAAATTGAGACTTAAAAAACCTTTAAAAAAAAAACAAATAGCAGAGCCTAAAAAAATCCAAGAGCATGTTCATGATGGCTATCGAGTTAGTCTCTGCTAACATAACTCTATGATTTTCTAAGGAAAAGGTTGTTAACAATAGAATCTCCTCAAGCAGATGTAAGTTTTTGCTAGAAAATGAGAGTAGAAGGTAGTCAAGTGGCGCCTCTTTTTTTTTCCCTGTAATCATGGCAATAGAAGAGACTGAATACCATCTTATTGTAAGGATGGTGGTGTAGACACCAGTTTGCATGCACCTCCACTAATCCACCAGACAATCTAACTACAGACCACCAACACAGGTTCCTGTTAAATCTGCTCACTAAGGCTGAGCAAATGGGCTCATGCTGAGTGTTGTAACTGGGGTATGGGATTTGAAGATCTCCAGATGTTACTCCTAACTCCTATGCCTCAACCACTCAGCCATCACCTTGGGAATGGGTACTAATATAGCGAATACCATCTTAAACACCATTTATCTCACAAGTAAAAGGATGATACTTCCAAAATAGAAAAAGCACCACCAGAGTTGAAATTTCTCTATTATTTTCTTTTGTCTCAAGTAGCTGGCTGTAAGATACTATTACTGCAATACTATTTGCTATCACTAGGCTGAAAAACCATGATACAGTGCACAGACCCTTATTAGGTTTTTATTCTATTTGACGCTTACTGGACGTTATGTACCTAACATTATTAAGATACCATAGGCACATCAAATACTTTCATGTGGAATTTCATTAAATGATGCTAGCGATTCAAAATCATAATTGATAATTCTGGTACATATATTTTATTTTATTTTGACAAGTCAAAGGAGATAACTCCTTTCATATATTTTAGTTATGAGCGGGAAATAAACTAAAATTTCTTTAGATTTTGTTCATAGCTGTCACTGCATGATTTCACAATGTATAAGTACTCCCATGAATGCTGTATTGCAGGAGAACCAGAGGGCCCAACAAAAGTCAAACATAGATATGTAAATACATATATTTATATTGTACTCAGACATGGTGGCTAGAAGCAAACCTTTCGAAATTGGTTGCTTCAGATTTAGCCCGGGCAACAATTTGCCTCCCATCTGCAGCCAAGCCTGCAACAGCCTGCATATAAAGAATAAAGCAGTGTAAAGAAAGTGAATCACCATTAAAGAATGGAGGGGAAGAGGCAAGGAAGGTAGACATAAGTTATAAGTATCCAAAGAAAACATTTGCAGCTAGATGAAATTGACCGATAGCAAACAGAAGCAGAGAAATCAACTAGAAGCTCATGGTATTCTTCACAGTATATGTCACAAACTCGAAATATCAAACCATTTCTCTGAGATGAGCTCAAGAATGGCCACTAGATTGCATTTCGATTATCTTATTGACCAAAGAGGAATAAACAGAGCTATTCAGCTTGGAGAAAGCATACTGGAAGAGACTCATTCTTGAGAAAGTATAATTGAGGAAGAAACAAAATATTAAGGGAGTCCAACTCCACCCACAATAAACCAATGTGCATATGGACACTTAGCTATCAGATACTTTCTATCTGGTCAGTCAACAGGGACTTTATGTTTCCAACAAATAACATACGACATATCTAACTGCAGTTAAAACAGAAAAATTATTTTAAATTAAGCGACTCCTATGTCAAATCATTATCATACCTAACTTTGTATGTGCTAGTGATATATCTAGTAGGTTACAGAAATATTTTACATTTCCCATCGATTAGTATCACAATGACAAATATATTTTTTTTTTTGGATAAGGACAATGACAATTGAAAACTGGCAATTTCGAACTTAACCAAGAAAACAGAAATTTTGGCAATTACAACTCGTAAAATCCCCAAAACAAACCGTCACAAACAGAACGCAACAGATTCCCCAACTAATTTTATTTCAGTGAAAATTCTATGATGACTAACTTTTATCTAAACCATCATCCCACAATAAACTTAACAGTTACAGAAGAAATGTGCCACATACAATACATGTCTTTGAGGAAAATCTAGGGAGTCTCTTCTGCTGAAGCTACCTACCATTAGCTCAAGAAATTCAGGTTTTCCATACAGCCTATTCGTTACAAAATCAAATTCATCATTTGTAGCACGAACACATTGGAATGTTTTGGAAAAATAAGCATGTGAACAATGTTCCCCCTCCTCCCCTCCCCCCC